ATTGACATTTTGAGAAGGATAAATTGCAGTCCATCTCTCCCATGAATTGAAGGGTGAAAAGTGATAAGCGTTATTGAAGGTATAAAGAGAGGAGTTAATTTGCAATCTTCCCACTCCAACTATTATTTTTTTTCCGAGAGAGTACTACTTAATTATTTAATTGTAACTGGATCTCTTTTTACAGGGATTTGGACCGCACGTCAGAGGTGCGGCGCTAGGGTTCCTCTATGTAGTGCCTGAGCAAAGCTTCCTGGTGTTATTTGATCGCTTGAAGCTCCCAGAATAGGGTTATTTATGCGCAAGCGAAGAACAAATTTTTCCATAATTGGTCATTTTCCAAGATGGAGGCTGCCATTATCAAGAGAAAGAGGTCACGATGGTAATAAAGTTCCGTGCTCAGGGCTGTGTTTTTTCCCTCTTTTCGATGATGTATTGTAATTATGTTTACCTTTCTTGTATGAAACCCAGGAATGAAGGGTGCTTGTGTCCTTGTAATATCTACTAGGGACAGTTATTCTAAGTTGATGGATAGGGTAGGTATGTACCAGTGTGGATATGCATGTATCATGTAGTTTCGATGAGATTACATTTTTTCCTTCGGTATTTATGTGTGGCTACAAGCTATAAGCGATGTTTATTCTATGTTTTTGGCTGCTTTTGAGATGTATACTTTGGTTTTGTTCCCCAATGTTGATATTTATGCATGGCTACAAGCTACAAGCGATGTTTTTTCTATGTTTTTGGCTGCTTTTGAGATTTCTACTTTGGTTTTGTTCGCCAGTGTTGTCTTTGTTTTCGCTGAGATTGCTTTTCCTTTTGCTAGCCAACGAAACTTATCGTTTTCACACATGAAGCTTCTTTCTTCATGCTGATTCTTCTAAACGAGTACTCTGTAAAAGATGTCTGATGCGCTTAAAAAAGATACCATGAATTGTATTTTCATTTCTCCGTGTCGATCGATCAGATGATGATAAAACATGCACAACTTCCAACCATAGAAGACAATTTTCTTCAAGTGTAACTGGAAGTTTTCTAGACACCTGCCTCAACTTGAAAATGATCTCTAGCTTCCTCTGCTTTAGGGCATGATTAGTTTCAATTTGGACAACAACCATATCGTATCGATATTGGTTTACTTAAAATGAAATCCCTGACATTGGTGGTATTGTCTCACTTTTCAGTTTGTATTTAAGAACTGCATGAAACTAATATACATCATATCTCAGTTTATATTATCTACATAATATAGTGAATCAATCAATATTCCATTCTCCTAAATTCAGGAAAGAATAAGGTAACAGTAGAATTCTTGATACATACATTCAGTCGCCAGAGTATATAAAAAAAATGCTGAAATTAATTCCAGGTTTTACTTCGAATATAGGATTAGGAACATTACTTTATTCATACAGCTAAGGAACGAATACATCCAGACTCCCTGCTTTACTATCTTGTGCCCGGATAAAATCTTATTGCCTTTGAATGTCTGATGGCATCTAACCTCATGGCATTGTTTATATTTTGAATGATTTATTTTATTGCTGAATATGCTTACAAAAGAATGTGCTACCTTTTACAGTAGAAATGAGCTGATGATTGTAATGTACAATGAAAAGTGGTATGGCTCAAATTTTCATAAGCTAGGTTGATAAACTCAATCTGAATCTTCCCAATTTTATGCTTAAACTTCTCCATCTGCTAGCAACCTGAACAAAAGACAAGACACCAAAATTTAGAAAAGATATTCAAAAGATAACTAGGGTTTTATTTTGAGTTTTAGCACTGAAAACACATGTAGAAGAAGTATCAGTATGAAACCATACTTAGAAACTTACCCAGTTAGCTTGTTGCATATTCGACTCCGCAGCAGTCAAATATCACAATATTAGAACCTCAGGAGTAACCACGTAATCACACAATAAACCATAATCCTCTTCGAAAATAGCATAGTTGAGATGATTAGTTTGTGAAAGTTGAACATCCACAAACTCACATTCGGTTCAGCCTATTGAACCAAATCGAGTGTAAAATCATATGAAATATATCATATTTCACCGGCCTTGGATGCCAAAGAAAATGTCTCTGCAACCTCTTCACATTCTCATGCATATCAACATACTTTTCTGAAGTAATTTTCAACAGTATATCCTTCAGTTGAGGGATATCTTTCTCAGCTACGACAACAGAAAACACACTCCAGTCCAACACTTCATCAAAGGGGAGGACAAAATTATCAGCTATTATCACCGGTACACACTCATAATAAATTGCTTCAACAATCCTTGGACTATTTACTTCATACCCCATAGGGCAAATGCAAAACTTGCTCGACTTCATGTGTTGAATATATGACATTTTTTTCGAGACCTGAGGAGGGAGGGGCCCATAAATTTTCATATCTTCATCTTTTTCCTTCCAATAATTAAGAAGGATGGGTCTGACTCGGCCGTGCATGTTGCCAGCAAAAAATGCAAGAATTGATCGCTTAGAGACAGCTTTTCCTCCGAGGCCTCTGAGGGCTTTCTTTGGGTTGATGATGAGTGTTTCAGGGAGAGAGACATCCTTCCCCCTTATGAATCCTACGGTGGGATCGGCATTGCATAAAGCTCTGATAGAGTTCTCACCCAGTCCTGTATGTAAGTTTGTTGTATAGGGTCCCTGTAGAAAAGAGATAAATCAAGGTCTTCTGTCTTTGCATAGATTTATAACTTAATGATAAGGGATCGACAAGCATGATACAGATTTTTCAGGAAAAATTCATCATATATTTATAACATAATGATAAGGGCTAGACAAGCATGATACAGATTTTTCAGGAAAATTCATCATATAAAATGCATAGGTGTCATACACTTTGAAATCTTTAAAGACATAGCTGTTGCTGCATTAACTGTAGAATATCAAATGATTAAAAAAATCTTACAGATCGGTTTCCTCTCACCCTCATGAATAAGAAGGGCTTCTTGTTTTCTGAAGTCATAGATAAGTTTTTCTCTAGGTCGAAATAACCATGAAACATACTTTCAGTTTCTTCGATGGCCTTTTCTCTGACAGTTGAAAAGGAAATATATACGCTCTCTCATCTAAACTAAAACAATATCTAAGATCATCATGAAAGCATTGGGGGCAAAAGTTGCTTATGGAGCTCAATTCTTTTAGAGTACACACTACATACATTAAATATTGTATTTTGAATTCAAATGAGAGAGAAAACAACTTCTGTTCAAAAGTTTCTCAAAAGGTTTAAGCTGTAGAGAAAACAAAATTCAAAGAAACTGATTGGTTTCTAACTCTTGACATGTTTCATTGATGAAGCCAATCTGCTCCAACAATTTATTGAACAATGTCATCAGTCTATAAACCAGCAGAAATTGTGATGAAATAAAAAAGTTTACGTTACAGTACAATCTAAGTTACCAAGATATACAGCTTATATTAACTGAACATAGAAGGCCTTAAAGATGACCTCCATAAAGCAAGCGCAGATGTGAATTTTAGTTCAAAGGACCGTAACCAAAAATCTCAATGACGATTTAGCAATCATGATAAAGTGAAAAAAGCAAGAAATAAAGAGTATACCCAATCATGACAAGCGACTAGAAAGTGATCTGCTCCTCCTGTCCGATTCCAGAAAGGATGTTTTGCTGATATCCAGTCAACATAGTTCTTCACGAAGATTGCTAGAGGTCTCAAACTATGTGAGCCCGGCTTATAGAGATATACTTCTAACTGCCGTGCACTAAATGGTAGATAGAATAAATGAGCTATGTTTGGGTCCTTTACAACGAACTGTTTGTTTCCTTCCAATAGTTTCATGAACCATCCTTCAGAAGCATAAATGCCTTTAAGCGCAGGTGTGTGGAAAATGGGCCTTCGTCCATATCGATAGATGTAAACTTTTAGTGTTTTTTCCATCAGCTCATAGCTCCTGAATACAAAATATCAGGTTTCAAGACTCTGGTGACTTCACCAACAGAGCACAAATAAGAATAAACAAGAGCTAAAGCTTGATTTTGTTCAATAATATCAAATTAATGGAAGAACAGACACCGAATCAAATCATCATAACAAGTGGAAGAAACAGAAGGAAAAATGATACTATGAACAATCATGTCAATAGAATGGTTGCTTTACATGATACATATTATTGATTATCTTTGTTCTACAACATACAAGAATGTTTTATGCTTTTTCAAAGTTGTAACCATGTCCATAAACATCTTTCCTTGATTTCCAGTATGAAACTTTTTGCATACTCATAGACAATTTCTTTTGAGAGAGGAAATAGTTCAAGTTTGAAGTTTTCAGTCCAAGGATTCCAGTGTCTTCAACTTATTTAGCTCTTTCAGAAACTTCTCTTCTATGATTGTTGTTCCCCCTCAAGAAGTCAAATTTTAACTATGATGATTGCCAAAGACTACTTCCGAATCCAAAGATTCCTCGAGACAATTATGTAACCATCATTTTTTTCTGAAATCAAATCAAAACTAAGGTGATCAGTTTATTTAAACATCACAGACTTTCAATCCCTCAGTTTTCTTTGGAACTCTGAGAACTCTTTTTAAAAAAAACAAATGCAGGTATACATCTCGTATAACAGTCTAAGGTCTAGCTTTATAAGATAAGAGATGAAAACTACAAGCATAATACATGAAATGTAGTTAAAAAGGTACATAAGAATTGAGAAAAAACTAATTTCATATATTTCTAAATTTCAAAGTGCCAAATCACACCGTTTTATCAATGACCACTAAAAATATTTTTAAATTTTATTATACAAACAATCTATAAACTTTGACTTCCGACTCATAAATAGAATAATGGAAGTTAACGAATAACAAGCATAAGATAAGAGAGGTTGAACAGTAGCACCTCTTAAAAACTGAAACATTTCGGAACAGTGGGGCATAAAGATCAGGGTCATTTGAAATTGTTGGGGCATGACCAATCTCTTCCTTAGCATAGATAAGTTGCCTGTCCGTTTCCCTCAAGCTGATAGGCTCCTAAAAAATAATAAAGAAGATCACCAAATCAAGAAGCAAGGGATATAAAAAATTAATTTAGGGCTTCATAACTAGATTTCACCTCAATGGTTTATAACTGTTTAGTGACTAAATCACTAGTAACTTGCATGATTCTTTTCGTCAAGAGATTACAGATCATTCCCAATAAAAACTAACAAGAGAGGGGGGAAAGAGAGAATTTTATGGATTGAATATCTACCTTAGTCTTGGTAAACGTGCCAGGGAAAGGAGGGGGTCTAGGATGGCTAGGAGAAACCATAGAAATAGATAAATCAGGTACCTGCAGAAACAAAATAAAAATAAAAAGACCATTAACCTCCATACCTTGAAGATTTACAAAACTTTCAAAAATATCAAACAATAAAGAAACATGAAAAAACTTAAATTATCTACTTCAAATTCGTGATTGACAAATCCAAAATAAAACTAGTTTTTCTTAACTATTTAAAATGCAGATTTCTTGCTCACGAACAATGGATTTCAACAATGGGATTTGGATTTAAAAAACTTTATATCGCTTAAAAGGGAATAAGAAGTAAACAATAAGCCCAAGCCCAAATAATTTCCCAATAGCATTTAGAGAAACAGAAAGTTTGATTTTTTATTTTTTATATTTTTTTTACAATACCTCCGGCTGTAAAGTTATATTTTCCAGGTCACCACCACTAGATTCCACCTGATTCATTGAAAAAAAAAATCTCAGCACGAGGAATGTAAACATAGAATAATTAAAACTAGTAGAACTACTAGATAATAGCAAAGAACTAAAAGTAGGATAACTTAACTTCAAGACTAATTTACTAAATAAATAGAAATGGCAATCCTAAAGAAATGTAGTTTTTAGAATCAAGAACCAATATTTGCTATGGGTATAACATAAATGAGAATATTAAGATAGACAAGTGGATATCCAGTAAGAGGTAAGATAGGCAGCAAGTGTACTCGCAGAGGTTGCTCCTCATTAGAATAAAATGAGAGAGAATCATTTAAGATAGCTTGGCCATGCGACGGAGGTCATCACATGCACCAAGATAAGTGATCACATTACAATTAATACAGAAAGGACCAGATGTAAGCCTAATAAAGATGTGATGATGATTAACTTAGTGGAGAGGAGAGCAAGAGAGCCCTCCATTTAACTGAGTGGAAGAGTGGCGCCAAAAATTTGGGATAAAGGTCGTTATAGTTGTAAGAACCAATAAATTGCAAGAATTTACCTCATTGGAATCAGAATTTTCAGCAGAAATTTTTAGCTCCTGTGCAAAAAAAAAAAAAAAAAAACTATAAAGTAATTAAAAATCCCAAAAAAAAAAGAAAAAAAGAAAACTTAAATGATTTCTTCAGCAACAAACATCTACCTCCGGTTCTAAAGGTGGGGCAGCCAAATCATCACTAGTAGAATTCATCTCATTTGGATCAGGGTAAAGAATAAGCTCCTAAAAGATTTAAACATTCAACAAAATAATAATAATAATAATAAATTCTTCGCAAAAAGTTGGGGGGGAATTAAATTCCCTCATTCCTCAAAATTACCAACCTCCGAATCTAAAGGAGGCGCCTTTAGCTCTTCATCAGGAAACACAGAGTCCTACAGAAATCAATCAACCAAAATTCACTAATGTTACCCAAAAAACCGCCCAAATATCAACAAAAGGGGGGACAAGTTAAGACCTTTAGCTCGCTGGCACCAGAACCGATCGAACCGCTAGGTCTTATTGAGGATCGAAACCCTAGGGAGGTAAACCGGATTCGGAGCCGCGAACTTGAAGACGACAGCGGCCACCGCAATAAGGAAGATGGCGCCGCCGCCGCCGCGCAGCGCCTCACCTGGCCGCCGTCAGCAGCCGCGATGCTGGACATCAGTTACAAGCGTTGACCGTATCGCTACCTTCGCGGTGACCGTACCGCCAGGAGACTGTTGTCAGAAAAGGGCGGGGGCGTTGGTGGTGACGAAACGGGAACACTCTGGAATTTTAGTGGCAAATTACTGAAATAGCCCTCCATCTATGTCGAAATCTGGGGCAGTCTGTTTAAAGCTGGTGTAATTTTGAATCATGTGAGGGGTATTTAGGGAACGTGCGGGTCAGTATGAGGCCAGCGAGGATTAAAGCATCAAGCATGTGGATCAGTAATTTATAAGAAAAACTCCAATTGGACCCAAAATATAGGACCCCGCACGGGACCGCTGATGTGGAATTTCGAGTTTATCGTATTCTGTTTTCCAGCCTGGCAGATGCTGGTATCAAATAAGGGCAGTTTCGTATTTTAAAAATTGGAAGCCATGCTATGCTAGTCATGGAGGGATCCTCTTCTTAACCAGTTTTCCCAACTCAAAAAAGAGAGAGAGGACGGCCGATGCGTTGACGGAGAAAGGGAACAGGCGGGGGTATAAAAACAGATACAACCAGTGTAAAATTGACCCGCGTGTTGCCGCAGCATTTACGTAAAAACAATTAAAAATATAGTTTAAACATTTGGACTAAAATTACATCGAACATCAAATATTATGAATAAAATAGCATGATAAAGTAAAATATATAATTTTACTATGATACAAAACTAAACATACAATATTTTAAAATTAATTTTTTCAAGTATGTTAGATCCAAGGTGATCCAGAAAGTGTGCGGCTCTAAAAGTAAATGAAGGTAAAACTTTTGGGTTAGTGATAATTACATTTTTTTATTATATTTTATTTCCTCATTATCTATTTCATTTAAATAAAAATGTTATTAATAAACGTGTTTAATCTTAATTTGTAGGTTAATGAAGGTTTAATGAATAAAAAGCCTAAAAGAATCAAATTCCCTGATTTTCTACCATTTATTGAAGCCTAAGTATGAAAATAAAAAGAAGACCCAATAAAGTTTAAGGATCCATGAAGAAATTGGGTCAAGAAATCTATATCTATATCTATACTATTATAAAAAGAGGATTGGGGTGTTAAAACTTTTAATTTTCTTTTTTACCCTCTTAAATTTTGATAAATTCTATCCATGTCATTATTACTAATTAATCTTTTATTAAATAAATATAACTACTTATTAATTTTGCACTCCTCGCCTTCCTAAATAATTATAATTATCAATAATATTATAAATATTAATTGTTTAAAAATAATAAAATAAAATAATTTATAAAATAAGTATACACAATTATTAGTAGTAACCAATTAAATTATTAAAATAATTATTTATGAATTTATAAAAAGAGGATTGGGGTGTTAAAACTTTTAATTTTCTTTTTTACCCTCTTAAATTTTGATAAATTCTATCCATGTCATTATTACTAATTAATCTTTTATTAAATAAATATAACTACTTATTAATTTTGCACTCCTCGCCTTCCTAAATAATTATAATTATCAATAATATTATAAATATTAATTGTTTAAAAATAATAAAATAAAATAATTTATAAAATAAGTATACACAATTATTAGTAGTAACCAATTAAATTATTAAAATAATTATTTATGAATTATAATAAAATAATTAAACTAATAGTATAAATAGAATAATATATTACTAAATGCTATTAAGAATTACACCATAATTCAATAAGCAATAAAATAAATAGAAGAAATTTTGAATCTCATAAATAATGTAATTATTTTAATAATATCGCATAAATTATCTGTTACACTATTTATTTAGTGTTATGTTATTAGATAAATAAAATAAATAATTTTATATTATTTTTAGAGTATTTCCTCAAAGACTATTACATGATACTGAATAATCTAACTTGGTAATGAAGGGTTTCACAAAAAAAATTATTTCACATTAATAATAATGCTATAATTGTTAATGACGGTATAATAAAAATCTATAAAATATTTATAGTACTAAATTATTTAAGAGCATAACTAAAAAATTTTAATTAAATAAAAAGTTTACAGTATATAGAAAGTATAATTATTTTAATAATATTACTTGAACTAAGAATTATGATATTGAATAAGGTAAATTACAGTAAACATCCATGAACTTTTAGTATTTTGCAGTAAGCAGACCCTATGAACTATTAAAATCACACTAAATCCCTATTAACTTTTATAGAAAGCCTTAATACCTTTTACATAAATTACAACAAATCCAGAATAACTTTCAAAATGTATTTTTATTCCATTTTTTGTTCTACTTTATAGGGGTTATCTGCAAAATTCAGAAAGTTATTAGGTGTCTTCTTTGAAACAGAAAAATCATTATGGGTTTAGTGTAATTTTAAAAGTTCATATTGGCTGAAAGTTCATATGAGTTTCGTGCAGTTTACCTTATTAAATAATTATAAAGAGAAGTAATTATTGTAATATGTTGTAGGTATCAAGTGTAAATATCCAGAGAATAATAGTAAAAAGCTAGTAAGATTAATGCAGCTAGTTAATTTAGAGTTAAGTTAATAACTTTTAAGTTGGAGGGACATATTTAAAAGAACTTATAGTATTACAGTTTTATCTAAGAACAATTTTAGATTTGGGGTCATATTTTAAAAAAGGTTAAAATGTGCGATCATTATAAGAAAAACATTCAATTACAATAACTACACAATAATAATTAATTCATACATTTCTTTTTGCGATCATTATAAGAAAAACATTCAATTACAATAACTACACAATAATAATTAATTCATACATTTCTTTTTAAGTAATCTTATTATAAAACATTCAATTACAATAACTACACAATAATAATTAATTCATACATTTCTTTTTAAGTAATCTTATTATACAATTTTATTTATTAACACATAGTTTTATGATTTAATAAAAAAATTTAAAATAAAAATATGTACGTTCACGTGCAAAGCATGTGCATTATACTAGTCACAAAAAAAAAATCAAATCTGTTGTAAACCAATCGGTTGGTCAACCGATTGATCAACCGATTGGTCGACCGATTGATTCATAACAGAAATTGTTTTATGGTTGAGAATTAATCATTGATCTCCAAATAATATCTAATGGTTCTTATTCATTGTTGTAGGCTATAAATATGGATAAAGGGTGAGGGCTTTGAGTGTGAAATTTTTTGTAATAACTCTATTTTGGAGAGGAGTGTTATTTTTAATTAAGAAGACCTTCTAAAATTATAACTTCATTGCAATTAATAAAAGAATTTTTCACCTCTTCATATTTTCTTTTCTTCTCTTTGTTTTGATGATGGAGATGAAGATGAAGATGTAGATGAAGGAGTCTGCTTTCAAGAATTTAATAATCTATGTTTATCTTGAGTGGTTTGATATGTTATGTTTATGAATTCTAGAATTACTATCTAGTTATTATTCTTTTAATGAATGTTAATTTTACTTGGATGATAATTTGATATGTTATATTTTTTTAAGTAGTTTGATAGTCTATGCTTAATAAATCTTAAGTAAAATGTGGTAAAAAATGAATAGTTCATATTTTATAAGTGAAGTTGGCTAGTTGATTCAATCCTAGATTCTTTATATCTCTAATTGAATCCTTCATATTTTACTTTCTTGATTTTTTTTCACTTTATTCTTGATTTTTATTTATTTATTTCTTGATTTTATTTTCCTTTGTTTTCTTCATTTTTTTCTCCCCTCTCAATCTAGTTTTATTTTATTTACATATTATCACATCAACTCTCTTTATCTCTCTACAACCACTTTCATCACTCCTAAATTGTCATACACACAATCTAGAAAACCAAATTTGATTATTTTCTACAATACCTTACTCGTGGAATTCGATACTCTTTTATATTATAACTTGATAGTTATGCGCTTGCAACTTAGGTATCTATTTATTCTTCTATCAAGTTTTTGGTGTCGTTACCGGGAAAGGTGCTTGTAATTAAGTATGAAGGAACAACTTTGAAGGAGAAAGTTAAAAATTAGAGAGAATATATTTGCTTAAAAAGGTAAGTTTTCTTTCTTATATTTTTAATTCCGCCTTCTAATTAGGCTTTTCACATTAGAGACAATTAGGAGCTAATAAAAAAATTATGTCGACCCTAATAAAATATACCCTCCATTTAAATAACTACTAAGAAGATAATAAATCCAAACAAAAGCTCTTTTCTCTCGTTTTTGTTTATTTGTTTGTTGACCCTAATTAAAAAAGTAAAAATATTTTCCTTTTTACATCATTTGTAGTTGCTTTTAATTACTAGGGTTGTATTGCATATAATTAGTAGGAATTCACCCACGTGATTTAAGCATCTTAATTTGATACACTTGAAAACACTCTTAAGGGCAATACACCCTAATCAAGATAAGGTGAGGGATTTAAAACTCATTAGACGTTGGCTCCTAATGATTCAAGCTCAATTAAGGAATAAGAAATCCTTAAGTGAACTAGTTTAAGTTTACTTGAATCCGTTGATATCTAAGATAAGGTTTTGGGATTGCGTAAAGTGCTTCGCAAGGAAAGATGTGCTTAATTGGTCATTGCTCTTGCTCTAGTACTATCCTTACCTAGCTAACCGACCAAGTAAACTTCAATATTTTTACTCAAGGATTTTTTAGTTAGGAGTCGGTCTAGTTGAGTTTAGGATTAACCATAGAAATAAGAGTGATTATTTCAAAGTGGTTGCTTTTGATTTGTTTTAGTTAAATTTTTTCTTTGTCCTTATTTTCTTCTTTCGTTAATCTTTTAAGTCTTAAAAAAAGAAAAAAAAGTAACTTTTATTTTTTTAAAGAATTTTTAATTCCCTTTTTAGTTAAAAAAAGAAAGAAAGAGGAAAAAAGGAATTTGTTTTTAGTGTATGCAAGTTTGGATTAAGGATAATATCGCTCGTTTAATCTGTGTTAAACCAATTTTTGAGACTAAACCAATGAAAAATCCTAATCTGCCCGTTCTTCAAGAAATATATTATCCCAAAGAAGAGAAAGAGTCAGACCCAAGTTTTGAGAAGATTTTTGGTGATAAAATTAAGATACTGAAAAAGTTTGGATTAGAACTAGTTTTCAGAGGCGGACACAAATTTTTCTTATCTTAGTTTTGAAGAATTTTTCACTGGTGAGCTTAGGTACCTAGAAAACAAATAACCAATTTTTCAAACCTCAACATAAATCTTGGGTTTGAGAATTCTTTTTTAAGAAAAACTAATTATGTTAGA